GTTTACACATCGCACCAGGTACTCATTTGAGGCTGAGTCGACCAAGGGGAGGACCAGGACCGGTTCAGATATTCGTCACTTGTGTTGGGCTATGAGCCAGATTCGAACTCGGGTCGCCAGGTTCGTAGCGGAACGCGCTAACCGCTACACTACCGCTCTCCACACACACACACGTACGTAAATACGCAAGTACACGCACACAAGTACGTACACACACACACACAAGTACAAAGACAAAGATCCCCCGTATAGCCTTAACAGACTGTAGGGGCAAGTGCTGTTAGCGAGCACCTACGAAGGCCGGAACGGTACACGAGGGGGTGGGTGGCCAGCACCACGCCCGACCGCCTTTGTCTCCCCAGTGGCGATGTTTACACACCGCACCAGGTACTCATTTAAGTACGTACACACACACACACGCCGACACTAACGCCATTTTGGGCTCTAACAACCCGCATTCACTCCTCTCGCACCCGCGTCTCGTTTACAATCCACGGGGCTCCACCAGCAGCCACCGACGACTTCGGCCGCGCATCTTAACCCCGGAACGCGTCAGGGTGCCCGCCGTAGTTTGTAGGGTGAGACGCGGGGGGCGGGGAGGGGGAGCTTGAGGTGCAAGTCAGTGGCGGTGGATATCGAGTGCGCAGGCATTGCAGCTGCACCAGGGGCCGAGAGAGAGGGGGGGGGGGAATAATTGGACAAGGGGTGCCCCCATTTCATCCCGAGCACCGAGGCCCATGCCAACCCACCCTGCCATGGCACTGCAAGGGCTCGGGGAGTGAAGTGTGCCAACAACATCCACCGGGAAAGCACATCGCATTCACTGGGTCCTTGATGTTCGTAATAAAATAACAAAAATAAAAACTGGTATAAGAGCCCTGTGTGTGTGTATACGTGTGTGCCGCTCTTCATAACGGCACTTGCCCCAATAGTCTGCGGAGGCTACACGGGGGATCTTTGCCTGTGTGTGTTGGGAGAGGTGGCGCAGTGGTTAGCGCATTGCGCGACGAACCCGGGCTCGACTCGAGTTCGATTCCCGCTCACGGCGAGCATCAGCGTGATGGCGAGTTGATACCTGAACCTCGTTTGTCCTGGCCTTCTCCTGGGTGACCTCTCGGCCCTAAATGAGTGCCTGGCGTGCTGTGTGCGTCGAAAGTGTAAGAACTCGGGAGACAAAGGCGGCCACGCAAGCGTTGAGCGGCGTTACTCAGCCACACCACCAATCTCGACTCGTCCGTCGTTCCGCTTTTAATAGGCGCTCGCTAACAGCAACTTGCCCGAAACCAGCCTGCGTAGCTCTACTTACGCGGAAGGATGGAGGTTGCGTGGGTCTTTGTAATTGCCGAACGTGTGGATGAAGCGAGTCTGTTGTGTGCATCAGCCTTCGTCTACCCACTGCTGTGTGAAGGTCTCTCGACGCGGCGGTACATCGCTGAAGTAATCCCACTCCATCTCCTCCCTGGACGTGTCCCCTTGTCTCTCCGCACGCATGCACGCCAGAGGCAGGGGGGGTGGTGGTGGTGGGTTTCTCGCGGCTGACGATTTGTGCGGAGGAGAAACGACACGTCGTTTGCCGCACTCCATCTTCTTGTTGTTGCCACAGGACTCCCAAAGAATATTTGGGATGCGAGTTCTTTTTAAATATGTAAGTAACTATAACAAATATCATAATGATGAGAGGGGACGCTGAATAAAAAGGGGGGGACGGAATTGTTCTCCCCAGCGCTGTGCGGATGTACGGGACACGCTGTGACGGATATCTAACACGAGGCAGATAAATGCATGCGTAAGTGATGGAATAAGAAAGAGGAGGAGGATGGGCAACTCACATTCATCAATAACACCGCGGCCTTAATAGGCGACGTTTCGGGCAATAGCCCTTATTCATATCACGTAAAATGATGAATATTATTAAAAGTGTAATCGGCCAAGCATCCCAAGCATAAGCATCATTACCGGGCCGTGTTGTTATAATTGGCTATGTTTGACATGTAACTATTGTACGACATGAAGTACAACCCCTCATATATTACGTACAGCTCGCTATCCGTATACACATAGTTGACAAATCACACGAATATATATACACCATGTAGTGTAAACAGCGCACACATACTTCATATGTACCCAAATGAACAGGAGCGGTGGCGCATTGGTTAGCGCACTACAGAATGAACGGGGCGATCGACGATCGATACCGGGCCACGGCTAACATCGGTAGCGAGTGCTACCTGAACCGATCATGAGTCTCGCCTATTCACCACCCCGCTGTGACCAACGTGGTGAAGTATGGTCTAACAACCCCCACCCCCTCACCCCCACCATGACCGATACAGCGTGAGAAGGCGTTCAAACAGCAGTGGATTCACTAAGATGCTGTACGCTACTCTTACGCACATTACACGACAGCCCCACACACACACCCCTTACTATCCGAATGCATATAGCCTATATAGCACGTACGGGAGTATAAACGCGTGCTATCACACGTGCATGAATACAAAACAAGCACACATATGTATAGGTGTGCACGTGTGTGCTTAGGCGGAGCGGTGGCGCGGTGGTTAGCGCGCCGCGCTACGAACCCGGCGACCCGAGGAGTCACGTCCAACAATCAGAGGCGATTATCTGAACAGGCGCTGGGTCTCCCGCCCCCCCCCCCCCCCTCGTCATGCGATCTGTTCAATATAAGTACTGGGGGAGACAAAGACGGCCGGGCGTGAGGCTGAATTCCTCTCCGCACCACCCGCCGAAGCGCCGTACCCCGGGGGGTCTTAATAGGTGCTCGCAAAGAGCACTCGCGCCCCCCCCCTCCCCCCAACGGTCTATAAATCGATAATAGGATGGGGGGGGGAAGAAATCTTTGTCTTCGTACGTTATGTATATACATACATTAAACTCAGCCCTCGCCTGCGTGGCGCTATTGTGAATTCAGCTCTCTGCTTCACTGGCCACCCATCCCCCGCGACAGACAACACTCCAGCCGACACACACACACACGCGCGCGCACACACACACACACACGCGCGCGCACACACACTCACACACGCACGCGCGCACGTATGCGTGTGTGTGTGCGTGCGCGTGTGTGAGTCTGTGCGTGAGATCCTTTCTCGACGGCACCTTCACTTACACACCGCGATCTTCATAGACCCGTTTGTCATCGTTTTTTTTTTTTACAAAATCTAAATTAAGAATTAGACATTTGGCTTGTGCATCGCTCATATCGTCCCTTGCTTGCACCGCGACCGCTTATTTTGCGTACATACGTGGCGTGCGTCCATCCGCGCACGTGTACGTAACGCACGCGCGTGTGTACGTGTACGCGTCATATGCACATTGCGATGCGCACGCATGTACGAGTTGTGTGTGCGTGCGTGTGCTGCACGTGTATGCCTGTGGGATGCAGAAGTGTAGCGGAAATCGGCGACCCGAGTTCGATTCCTGGCTCATAGCACAACACGAGTGACGAATATCTGAACCCATCCCGCGCCTCCTCCCCTAGGGTGACTCAGCCTCAAATGAGCACCTGGTGCGGTGTGTAAACATTGCCACTGGGGAGACAAAGGCGGCCGGGCGTGGCGCTGCCCACCCACCTTCTCGTGTGCCGTTCCGGCCTTCATAGGTTGCTCGCTAATGGCACTTGCTCTTACAGTCTGTTCAGGCTATACGGGGGTCTTTTGTTTGTGTGTGTCTGTGTTACACAGTGTGTGTGTGTGTTACACTGTGTGTGTGTGCGTGTGTTACACTGTGTGTGTGTGCGTGCGTGTGAGCACAAAATATTGTATGGCTGGCCATGTCGTTGTTCGCTTTGGCCCAGACTTCGCGCTGCGTGGCGATGTTCTCGTGAAATGGCGCTCTGTAAACAGGAGGTGATCTTGCCTTGGTGGAGATGATGATTCTGGTGGTGGTGGTGATTCTGGTGGTGGTGGTGATGATTCTGGTGGTGGTGGTGGTGATTCTGGTGGTGAGGATTCCAGTCGCGGCGATCCTCTCAAAGATATATCGATCTTTTGATCGTGATGGCAATCTACTAGCATGCACATAACCAGCCACATAAGCTAACCAGATGATGATGATGCTGCTAACTGATGATGATTCCGCTCACACGAAACCAGTCCAGTTAACTGGAAATGATGACGAGCGTGGCGATTATGATGATGCCTGTAATGTTTATGATGACTCGCGAAGAACCCGCATGTGCTTAGCAGATCGTATTAATTGCTTGCTGATGATGATGATGCGGAATCTGATTATAAGTATAATGTCCGTGTCTATCTACAAATGCACGCACACACTCACATACAACAGCCGGAATACGCAACTAAATGTCGGTGACGTCGCAATAGCCGCTTGTGCCATGCTAGGTGCACTTCGAGGTCACGTGTATACGCGTGAGCACATCGGCACAAACATGACCCCTATAGAAGTAATGAAAACAGACTGTTGGTGCAGCTGCTGTGAGCGAGCACCCAAGAATGGTCGATAGACAAAGACCCCCTCCACCCTACACATCGGCTGGTGGCGAAAGTACGATGAGCGGACACCTATGAAGGCCGACACCGCACACGGGAGGGGGGGGGGGTGGTGATGTGGCCAGCACCGTCAGCCCCGGCCTCCTTTGTCCCCCCAATGTTGATGTCAACACGACGCACCAGAAACTCATTTAAGGCTGAATCGACCGAAGAGGAGGCCGTCCCAAGACCGGTTCAAACTCTCCGCCAGCGACGTTGGGCTAGTGAGCACGGAATCGAACTCTGGCCCGCGAGTTCGTAGCGTCAACGCGCTGTAACCACCGCTCCCCTTCCTTATTAATTACATGTACAAACACACGCGCGCTCGTGTGCGCACATACATGCACACATTCCTTGCGAGGACGCGCACGAAATGCCTGATTTCCACGCAGCCGCGCGTACACTCGTGTGGGTTACCCCAAGTGCGTTTGCCGAGTCTGCTCGAAGTGCACGACGCAACGCGACGCAACGCTCGCTCGCTCGTACCTGCGGCTCCGGCCATGGGTAGAGTGGACGCGTAGTATTTGTCGGGCGAGTAGGTCGGGGCGAGCGCTCCGTGCGCAGAGATGCGTGCCGCGCGGTAGGCGTGCAGCGGCGGTGGCGGAGGAGGCTGCGGTGGAGGAGGCGCAAGCCCCAGCGAGTGATGGTGCGCGTGGTGATGCGAGTGGTGGTGCTGCTGCTGCTGGCTCAGAGCCGCCGCTTGATGCTGCGAGCCGCTCAGAGAGCCGCCGCTCGTATCGCGCTGCAGTAACGGAGGCGGTGGAGGAGGAGGCGGAGGAGGAGGCGGCGGAGGTGGCGGTGCTTGAGACGATGCCCCTGCCGCTGCCTGGATGGAGTGGTTAAAATCGCGGGCGTCCATGGCCGTTGTCCGTTGCGGTGTCTTCCTCGGTTGCCACGACCACCGCCACCACTACCACCACCACAACCCTCCAGCGGTAGCAGCAGCAGCAGCAGTGCGGTCAGCTCCGTCCGACCGCGCTGGTAGCGAAGCGGACGGCGGCAATGGAGATCGGCGTCGCCTCTACGGGGCACTTTCCTCGAATACTCCCCGAGAAGTCATTGTGCGGGTTTTTTTTGGCGGCGACACGATCGTGTTGAGCTGCAAAGTGATACGAATGGGCACAAGTCACACACTCACACATGCACAACACACACTCACACGTACACAACACACTCACACAACACTCACAACACACACTCGCACTCACTGGAGCCTACCGCTTAAAGCCTCCCCGCCGCATTCCCCCCGTGTCTGTGTTGGTGCGTTGTATATGTGGGGGACCGGTAGCGCGCCTTGCTACGAACCTGGCCACCCGAGTTCGATTCCCTGCTCACAGCCAACACCGGTGAGGATTATCTGAACCGGTGCTGGGCCTCCCCTAGGTCGACTCAACCTCAAATGAGTTCCTGGTGCGGTGCGTAAAAAAATCGCCACTGGGAAGACAAAGGCGGCCGGGCGTGATGCTAGCCAACCACCCCCTCGTGTGCCGTTCGGACCTTCATAGGTTGCTCGCTAATGGTACTTGCTCTTACAGTATGTTCAGGCTATACGGGGAGGTCTCTGTATTTGTCTTTTTTTTATATGTGTATACTTATACATCGGCGTGTCTACTCTCTCGCGAACCGCACTCGCCCCAACAACAGCCGATGTAGCCGACACGGGGACCTGTCTTCATGTGTGTGGTGTGTCCACAAGGGTCTGTGTGCTGTGTTTACTGGACATACCAAATGGCCTCGTGTGCCGTGCCACCATTAATAGGTGCTCGCTAACAGCACTTGCCCTGGCCACCCGCGTCGACTACACGGTGGATCTCCCCTTCGTCTGTGGAGCGTGTATCTCGAGGTGTGATGTGTGTGTATGCGCGTGTATGATGTCTGTAGGTGTCTGTATAAGCGTCCAGACATGCAACCTTAACAGACTGTTGGGGCAAGTGCTGTTAGCGAGCACCTATAAAGGCCGGCAGGGCACACGGGGGGTGGGTGGCCAACACCACGCCCGGCCGCCTTTGTCTCCCCAGTGGCGATGTTTCCACACTGCACTAGGTACTCATTGGAGGCTGTGTCGACCTAGGCGAGGTCCAGGGCCGGTTCAGATAATCGTCACTGGTGTTGGCCGTGAGCGGGAATCAAACTCGGGTCGCCTAGCTCGTAGCGCTGGGCGCTAACCGCTACACCACCGCTCCAGCCCCACATACACACGCACACGTGCAACGTGGTTCTCATCTTAAAGCCGCCCCTCTCTCTGTGTGTCTCTCTTTCTCTCTCGATGAGCGCGTGTTTGCGCCTACAGGGTTGTCCGAGACTGTCCACGTGCGAGTCCGTCTATGTACACGCGTATCTGTACACATACATGATACGTAGGCAGGGGCAGTGTTGGCGGTCTGAAAATCTCATGAGTTGCCCCCGTGTTTTAGCTCTCACTGAAGGGGGAAAGCACGCCGTGGGCCTTGATTGCATTAGGCATATGCACGCACGAGCCGAATATAAAACAAGGGCAATCACGTTTCCAACGATTTTACCCCCCCTCTCTCTCTGCCCCCCCCCGTCCCCTATGCTTTAGCCTGTGCGGCTTTGTGTGTCTATAGGTGTGCGCGGCTATATGGGATGTGTTCGTGTGGCGTGTGTTTGTATGTGTGTGTATGTATGTCTACAGGGATGCGTGTGTGGTGTATGTGTAGCTATAGATGATTTATGTCGTGTGTGTGTGTGTGGGGAGCGGTCATGTCGTGTGGTAAGCGCGCTGCGCTACGAACCCGGCGACCCAAGATCGATACCCGCTCACGGCCAACACCGGTAACGATTATCTGAACCGGGCATGGGCCTCTTCAAGGTCGGCTCAGCCTCAAATGAGTACCTGGTGCGGTGTGTAAACATCGCTACTGGCGAAACAAAGGCGGTCCGGGCGTGGTGCTGACCACTCACCCCCCTCGTGTGCCGTGCCGGCCTTCGAAGGTGCTCGCTAACAGCACGTGTCCCAAAAGTACGCTCAGGTAATACGGGGGGCCGGGGCGGTGGGAGCTTTGTCTGTGGGGAAGGGCAGTGTAGTGGTTAGCGCGCTATGCTACGAATCCGGCGAACCAAGATCGATTCCCGCTCGCGGGCCAATGCCGGTGACGAACATTTGAACCGGTCCTGGACCTCCCCTAGGTCGGCTCAGCCTCAAACAAGCACCTCGTACAATATGTAAACATCAGTACTGGGGGAGACAAAAGCCACTGGGTGTGGTGCTGGCCACCCACCCCCTCGTGTGCCGTGCCGGCCTTTATAGGTGCTCGCTAACAGCACTTGCCCCAACAGTCTGTTACGGCTATATAGGGGATCTTTGCCCTTCTTTATGGCGTGTATGTGATGTGTGTGTATTGGGCCATGGGTGTGTGTGTTTTTTTATATGGGTGAATGGTGCTCGCCAACAGCACTTGCCCCAACAGTCTCTAAATGCTATACGAGTGATGTTTGTATATGCATGGTATGTGTGTGCAACTATGTGCTTATTGGGGCGTGTCTGTATGTGTACGTGTCTACATGAGTGTAGGTGTGTGTCTGTATGAGTGTATACGTGTTTTGTTATGCACGTGTATCCATATAAGCACGTGCAGTGCGTATGTGTGGTGTCCGCGTCTCTATAATGTTGTGTTGGTGTCTTTGTCTTCGTGTGTCAGTGTGCGTAGGTGCTCGCGAACAGCACTTGCTCCCACTAATCATTGCCTCTGTGCGTTGTCTAAAACCTCCCTTTAATAACGCCACCAGTCATGCTGTTGTTGTTGTAGTGAGGAGGCGAACGATGTTGCGTGACTCCGACTCGCACGCGGAGTGAGCGTCTGTGTGTGGGTGGCGTAAACCTTCAGCTCAGATCACAAACACCAAGTTTTCCCCCCTGGTAGCCTCTACAGACTGTTGGGGCAAGTGCTGTTAGCGAGCCCCTATGAAGGCCGGCACGGCACACGAGGGGTTTGGGGGGGGGAGGGTTGATGGCCAGAGAACCACGACCCGCCTTTGTGTCCCGAGTAGCGATGTTTACTAATCGCACTGCCTTACTCGCTTGAGGCCGAGTCGACGGGTTTCGGATAATCGTCGTTGACCATGAGCGCGGATCGAACTCGGTTCGTCAGCTTCGTAATCACGGAGCCTTTGACCGCAGCGATCGAGCCGGACTGGACGAAATCAGTGTGGCAGGGGGGGTAGTTAGGATGGAGGGGGGCCGAATCTAAGAACGGCAGAAGACATCATCAGCTTCAGACGGCTTCAGCTGACGGATTCTCATGGCTCCGTGCACAGCGCCCGTAACTCTAAAGAGAAACCAGCGGCGGATGCAACGGTATTATGATGGCCAAACGTTTAACAACTTAGAAATGCGTTATTTAAAAAGAGAGGCGAGTGGGGGGAGGGATGGGGGGTACCGTGATGCTCGCGACGGGCAGAGGGCAGATGCCGTCGCGACGGATTCGTTTAAAGCACAGACCGTGCACTCGCGGCCGGGCTCAACGTGTACTAAGTTACACACACACACACCCCTGCCTTGCATAGTACTTTATCGTGAAAACTATATTTTAAAAAATAAATCTTACGTTCGTGCTTAGAGAGGGAGTCTAGAAAGTGGCGTCTGCCCAGAACGAGCAGTGCAACGGCCACAGATGCCGCCTGCCCGGACAACAGCGCCCAGGACTCACCCTCTCGCTCCCGACACGGGCTCCTGGTCCACACATACCTCCTGGTATCAACCTCCAAGTCCATACCTCCTGGCTAATACCTCCTGGTATCAACCTCTGAGTGCATACCTCCTGACATCTACCTCCAAGTCCATACCTCCTGGCTAATACCTCCTGGTATCTATCTCCAAGTCCATACCTCCTGGCTAATACCTCCTGGTATCAACCTCTGAGTGCATACCTCCTGACATCTACCTCCAAGTCCATACCTCCTGGCTAATACCTCCTGGTATCAACCTCCAAGTCCATAGCTCCTGGTATCTCCCTCCAAGTCCATACCTCCTGGCTAATACCTCCTGGCATCTACCTCCAAGTCCATACCTCCTGGTATCAACCTCCGAGTGCATACCTCCTGGCATCTACCTCCAAGTCCATACCTCCTGGCCAAAACCTCAAAGTAACTACCCCATAGTCCATACCTCCTGGTTTCTACCTCCGAGACCACATCTCATAGCGAATACGTCTTAGCATCCAACTCCGAGCCCACGTATCCTGGCCCATAACTCCTAGCCCACAACTTCTAACATCTACCTGCGAGCCCTACCTCACAGGCCACACGTCGCAACATCCACCTCCTTATCCAGACCCCGAGCACGCATCTCCCAGCCCTCACCTCCTAGCCCATACCTCATAGCCCACACGTCTTAGCCCAGACCCCCTATCATTACCTCCCAGCCCATACCTCCTAGCCCATACATCGTAGCGACTACCTACTCGCCTATCCCTTCGAGCGTCTACCTACCACAATCTCAAACTTTATTCCGCCAACTCCCTCCAGGACGTCCGAGTTCATACCATAGCCCGTACCTCCCAGCACATGCCTTCTCGCTACCATCATCATCCCTCCTAGCCCATACCTCCCGCGGCACGCGCTTCTTGGCGCCCACCTGCGTGGCAGGTTTGCCGCCCTTGCTACTTGCTACCTGGGCTGCCTCGTGCCGCCGCGTACCTGGCCACCGACGTGTTCCGCACGTGGAAAACGTCGGTGCCCAGGTGAGCGGGCGAGAGAGACGACGGCAAAGTCGCGGGCATCGCGGTCGCCGCTGTGTGTGGCGGACGAAGCGATCATCTTCTGTGTGTTTTTGTTGTTGTTGTGTTGTTGTGTTTTTGGCGTTTTCTCGATAGCGGTGTTTGGGTCTCGCATTCCGCGAAACGTTCTGTTCAGTCGCGTCTCCGTCGCGTTCCGTTGTTACGATGATTGTCATTAATGGCGGTGGTTGTGGTACTCGTGGTGGTGGTGCCGGTGGTAGCGGTTGTTGGAATGCATCGGCAAATCTCGTGTTTGCATCGCGTCTCGGTAGCAGCGACACGAGACGCGCGCGCGCGGTTATGGGACGAGTTCGAGTCCGTGGCACGCGGTGAATGATGTGAAAAGTCGAATCGTCTCGGCATGCGTGTGTTGTGCGTCTCTGTCGCGTCGATGTGTTCTGTGTGTCTGTGTGTCCAATCATTTCTGCGTGTGCGTCTGTCTGTGTGTCGATTCATTTCTGCGTGTGCGTGTACTTTCTGCGTCCACGTATGCTGTATTCTCCGTGTGTCTACTGTTGCGCATCCCCCCGTTTTGTTCCCTGCGCGTTTGCGTCTCGGCGTGCCTCCTGCGTATTGTGCATGTGCGCTGCGTATGCTGCCCGCATGTTTTCGCACAGGTTACATCTGCGTGCTATGCCTTTGCGTCGCGTGAGTCTCTGTGCATGTCTGGGGTACACTGTGCGCACTTGCGTGTCGTCGGCATACTGCGTACGCGCGTTGCGCCCGTGAAGTCCATCTCGCTCATGCCCGTGTGTTGTGACCATGCGACGATACACGTCCACTTTATATATATAAGTGCCCGTGTGCATCCCGTAGAGTGTCTGCGTGCGTTCGTTCTCTTTGTGCGTCGTGTCTACGTGCCGTGGTTATGCTGCTGTTGTGTTGTGGCAAAATGTGTGTTCGGCCCGATCTCTCTCTCTTCCTGTGCTGTCTTTGTGTCCCTGCGTTGTTGTACGCGTCTGTCTGTCCTTTCGTAGCCTCGATGCGTTTCTCTTTTTTTTCGCACTCACGCATTGCAATCGACGTACGGGTGCCCCTGTGTTGCGTCTGTGTCGTGCCATCGCGATGTGTTGTGTCGATGCGTGGCCGTCGTCTTTATACGGCCCCTGCCGAGTATCCAACGCCTCTCTCTGTTACAGGCGTGTAAAATGCCCCTGTGTTGTGTCTGTCTATATATCGTCACTGTCTTGTGTATTGACGCTCTATGCGTTCCGTCGATGTTATCGTTGCGCACTGTGGTCCTTGTGTGTTTCTTTTCCGTATAAGAGTACCCCCCATATGCTGCGCACGTGTACCCTTGCCTGCAAGTTGTGTTCCCTGCGCGTTGTGCCTTCCTGCCGTCGCTATGGGTCTGCATTGTGTTCAGATGCGGATCCATCCTGTGTGTGTCGTGCCTGTGCTGTCCCCGTCTTACGTGGCTGTGTTGTGTCTATACTTGTGCCTATGCACTGTGTCTGTTGTGTCTGTGTGGTTTGTCGACATCGTTGCCATGCTGTTTATTCCTGTACCGTGTGTATCGCCCATACGCTGGTCGCCGTGTCTATCTATCGCGTGAAATCCGTTTGTGTCTCGTGCTGACACTCTCACTGTGTTGTGTCTCTGTATGTTCCTCCAGTGTTGTGCCCATGTGCTGTGTCTGCATGCTATGCATATGCGCTGTGTCGTTATCATATGCATTGCGCCTATACGGCCTGCCTACCATTCCCCCGTGTCTATGGCTCGCGTCGTTCTATCGCCCTTACGCATGGCCTATCGTATGCCCACTCGTATGTGTGTCTTATACACCCTACACGTTATGTACCCAACACATGTGCGGCCCATGTTGTGTGTACGAGCTGTACCCGTGTCGCGTATATATTATGCATGGGGCTATATTGTCGCAATGTGTCGTCTCTATCTGTTTATTATCCTCAGAACGTCGCTATCCGTGTTTTGTACTTCATGTCTATGTTGCCTTTGTATACCTACACGTGTGTGTGTGTCTACATCGTCACAACGATCAGGCATCGTGCCGCTCTGCAGTTGTGCTGCCTGTGCGCTGTGCCTCGCCGTGCCACGGGTGCACGTTGTGCCCATGCGTTGTGTAACCGTGCTGTGTGTATAGCCATGCCCGTGTTGTGTATCATCATGCCCCTGGTCAGTCTTCTTTGCACTGGGTCCAACAACGAAGCTTTGTGCGTTGTGCCCAGTGCTATCTGATCTGCGTTGCGCGTTCTATCTTTTTGTTTTATGCGGCTCCTCTATCCGCCGTCTCTCTGTGTGTTTTTACGCATTCGTAACGAGCTCACGCAGCGTCCGCATTGTGTCTATGTGCATCGTCTCGTGTGCGTGGGGTTGTGTTACTTTAATGTATGCAACGTGCATACTGCACAACGAGAGGCGTGTGACCAGGGTCTCGACAGCGACTCGCCGCCTGCGCGTCTCGCGAATCTTTACCAACTCGACTAATCTTCCACGCGTGCAGAGCGCATCTTGCGTACATCGGTCGCGCACTTTATAAACATCGGCCCTATATGCTGTGCGTGCGAGTATGTTGAATGCAGACCTCGTGGTGTCTTGTGTCTCTCATGCCCTGACAACTCGCCTCCGATGAGCACGATTGGTCACGTTCGGTGTGAAAGAAGTTCAACATTCGTCTCTATGTGATATTGGTTGTGTCCGCTGTGTGCATACACGTCTGCTTGTGTTGACCATTTAGTTTCGTTATTAAATACGCACTGCACACATCGTTAAGGCGTTCTGATCGTATGCGGCGTTCAGTGTGCCTATGTCGTGCTGCATCCAAACATCGTCTGCGTGTTTGGGTTAGTGTCTGTGCATGGCCCGTGTGTTGGCTTGCGTACCCGTCTGTAGGTCGTGCCTAGAGCTCGAATCTCTGTGTGTTGCGTGTGCAGCTTTCGTCTATGCCATGGATCGCCTACACGTCGGCCCTTGGGTGTTGTGTATCTTGTATCTCTGGACGTTATGTCTGGACATTGTCCACGTGTAGTGTCTCGGTTGTGTGCCTACTCTGTTCGGCGTACCCGTGTCCTGCGTGTATATCGGTACGTGCGCATCGCCCGTGTGCCTATTCGTCATCAGTGTGCCGTGTGTCTTTGTAGTGTACCTTCGGTATACACAGTGCGAGTGTGTTGCGTCGCGTTCGTTGTCCGTCTCTCTCCTTTGTGTACGTTGTGTCTGCACTAGTCCAGCTCGCATCGTGCCTATACGGCGCGTTGTATGCATTCGCGACATCTCTGTTGTTATCATCCATGCGTCGTCGTCGTTGTTGTTGTGTATCCTAGTTTTAAGCAAAGCTATGCATATTCCCTATGCGTTGTGTGTGTGTGTATCTTGTGCATATCGGTTACGTATAAAGTAAATCTCTACGCACAGTTCTAGCCGTTATCTTTGTGTCCGTGTAACACCGCCACCCACCCCAACCCATGATGAATCTACCCCCCTTCATCACTGCGCTCTGTTGGCCGGGTGAGTCTCCTCCAACCGACCGGCGGCTGAACGAGATCCGCGGGGGTCGAGTCAGTGTGCGGCGGAGAGCGGAGAGCGAGAGACGGCGGCGGCGCCGTGCAGGTCGAGGGGGTACGGGACAGAGGACGGACAGAGTCGGCTCCTGCTCGCCGGTTTCAGGAGCCCGGCGATAGCAGCGACTCGTTACGGCGAACGGAGGTAGCCAGGAGTCGGTGGCAACCTCAGCTCGACCGCAACCCCCGCGCCACATCAAAGCGCGCGGCCAAACTCTCCCCCCCCCTCTCCTCTCTCTCTCGCTCGCGTGAGCCCACATCAACTGCGCAACCGGCGTTCGGTTTGGTAGAATCGGTCCCGAGTGTTGGGTTGTTTTATTTCAATTGGTGTCGTTGTTGTCGTGTGTGCCGTGTGCTAACTACGATTTGAGCCGGTCTACGAGCATGAAAAATCGGTCGAATGAACCCTCCACACCACGCGCGGTCTGGGATGGGAGGTCCGCATGCAGAAGTGAGTTTAACGTTGAGGATGATGATTAAAACGGTGGAACTATCGTCTGTGTGGTGTTTGCCTTAAAACGTGAAATATCCACTACCTCGTGTTAACACACAAAGACAAAGACCCGTATAGCCTTAGACTGTTGGGGAAAGTGCTGTTAGCGAGCGCCTATGAAGGCCGGCACTGTGGCACACGAGGGGCTGGGTGGCCAGCACCACGCACACACGCGCACGTCCCTCCGTGTCTCGCCATGGCTCCCACGAACCCTCTCGTCTTCTTCTTTCTCCCTACGTGCGTCTCCCCGTGCCTCTTGACTGCTCCCGTCTAACAGCAACTCAGCGGTGTGTGCGTGTGTGCAAATGGAATAGAATGAAAAACGTTCTTACCGGTCGGTTAAGGTTTGCTCTTATTTATCCGCAATAGGTTCGAGTCTTCGAGTCGGCGTCTGGAGATCGATATACATCCAAATGCCTCCTTCTCCGAGCATCACCACAACCATTTTAGACATAAATATTTATTCTTCGGCCGATATCAAATCCTCCTGCTTCGCCTTTTCATTTTTTTTCTTCCGATAAATTAGTGTCTCTGGTTTTTTGTTTTGCTTTTCTTCAGCGACGCAACGACGCGAATCGAAGTCGACGAGATGGCAGGCGCGGTGGCAGAAGTGGTGATGATGATGATGGTCGTGGTGGTCGTGGTGGTGGTACAGCTACCGATGTCCGGTAGGAAGGGGGGGGGGATAACGAGGCGAACTGTTGATTGTTTTTGTTTAATAACAAAATCTCCGCACAGTCCGCCGGCTCCTCTCCTCCGATCGCACCGGAGTCGTGGAAGATTCCGAAAGGGGTCCCGCTTTCATGAGAGGAAGAAGAAGAAGATGAGCGGGGACAAAAAACTCCGCTCGATGTATGTACATATATCTATATGTAGGTATATATAGAACTATATATATTATGGAGTGGTAGGCAAGGCGAGCGGTCGTGCGGGCAGGCCAGTCACATCTGACTCGCAAGACGCCAGTCGAAGAGGTTAGTCAAATCGCAAGTCTCGCTTCTACATCTGGCAACATATCTCTCTCCTCCTGCTGCTGCTGCTGCTCCACACGCGTCCTGCCCGCTCTCTCCTCCTCCTCCTCTTCTCTCTCCTCTCTCCCTCCCCCCGTCTCTGCTCTGGCTGGGGCTACGTGGAATAGGCGAGCGCCCAACGACCGACGGCGTCGGCTGTTGCGCTCTCTACAGATTGTACTTTCCCCCGTCAGTCGCTCGAGCCCGAGCCCCTTGCCTTGAATGCTGGAATAGTTTTTTTTTGTTGTGTTGTCGCGCCTGCTTGTTGGAACAATGGAGGTGGGGGGAGGGGCGCGGATGTTGAGGATAGGGAGGGGGGAGGGGTGCGCATGTGAGTGGGGGGAAGGAGGAGGAGGAGGTGGGGGTAGGAGGGTGGTTGTTCGAGGGGGGGGGGAAGGGTGGCTGCGAGCGTGGGTGGGGTGGGGGTGCAGTGCGGAAAGGGGGTGGGGGGGGGGTGATGGGCCGAGGGGGAGGGGTGGGGATAGAGGGGGGGAGGAGGTGGGGGCTTGCATGCTTAACGCTGTCCATCAGACTATGTAAACACGCCTCTGATTGGCTGCTGGCCAGAGCAGTCAGCCTGCGCCGTCGCGGCCGCCGTTTCAAGGCGCCCCAAACTATTAAAGGCCGTTTCCAGGGCCGCCTTGCAAGCAAGAGCCCTACCCCCCAACCCCATCCTCGACATCCCCCCTCTTCTTTGCGGGCGCCGTTTCCAGGCGCGCCCTACCCCCCCTCCTACCGGCGCTGGCCGTGTCAAGGCGGCCCATCCATCCCCGTCAGCCCTTCCCCTGCTACACAAGGTCCGCTCTCAAAGCCTCGTCCCTTCCCCCCTCTCCCTCCTCCACCAGCGCGCAGACGCACGGACGCACGGACACACGCACAGTCGTACGGATAGGAAAACGAGGCCAAGCGGTCAAAGAATGAGATGGCGGGAAGCTCCCTCGCTCGCTCGCTCGCTCTTCTCTGGAGCTGTGAGCGACGCGGGGGGCGAGGGGAGGGAGCGGAGTGCGTGAATGAGCGCGGGCGGCGGAGATGGTGGTGCAGAGTGGGACGGGGGTGGAAGAGAGAGAGAGAGAGTGGGATGTGTGATGGAGGGCTGCGCGTGTGTGTATATATATGCGCGTGTGTGTGTGTATGTATATATGCGCGTGTGTGTGCGTGTAGGTGCGCGCGTGTGGGGGGAACGGTGGCGTGGCGGTTCGCGCGTTGCGTTGCTTCGAACCCTGGGCAGAGCCGGGTTCGATTGCCGTTCACGGCAAACACCGGTGACGATTTGTCTGAACCGGTCCTGGGCCTCCCCTAGGTCGATTCAGCCACAATTCAGTGCCTGGTGCGGCGTGCAAACGTCGCCACTTGCGAGACAAAGGCGGCCGGGCGTGGTGCCGGCCACAACACCCCCTCGTGTGCCGCGTGGCCCTTCATAGGTGCTACTCGCTAAAGAGGACTTGCCCTGAGAGTCGGTCGAGACTACGCGGGAGATCTTTGTCTTTGTAGCGCGTGCGAGTGCGAGGCGAGCGGGTGGTGGTTGTGGAAACTGCTGGGAATGGGGAAGAGCCGTCGGTTAGATGATCGCGTGTGTGTGTGTCGGTGTGTGTGTGTCTGTGTGTGTGTCGGTGTGTGTGTGTCGGTGTGTGTGTGTGTCGGTGTGTGTGTGTGTCGGTGTGTGTGTGTGTGTCGGTGTGTGTGTGTCGGTGTGTGTGTGTGTCGGTGTGTGTGTGTGTGTTGATGTGTGTCGGTGTGTGTGTGTCGGTGTGTGTGTGTGTGTGTCGGTGTGTGTGTCGGTGTGTGTGTGTCGGTGTGTGTGTGTCGGTGTGTGTGTGTCGGTGTGTGTGTGTGTGTCGGTGTGTGTCTGTGTGTATCTGTGTGTCGGTGTGTGTGTGTCGGTGTGTGTGGGGAGCGGCAATGTAGCAGTTAGCGCGCTGCGCTACGAACCTGGCAAACCGAGTTAGATTCCCGCTCACGGCCAACACCGTAAGTGACGATTAATTGAACCGGTCCTGCGCCTTCCCTAGGTCGACTCAGCCACAAATGAGTAACCTGATGCGATGTGTAAACATCGCCACTAGGGAGACAAAGGCGGCCGGGCGTGGTGTTGGCCACTCGCCCTCTCGTGTGCCATGCCGGCTTTCGTTGATGCTCGCTAACAGCACTTGCTCCAATAGTCTGTTAAGGCTATACAGGAGATCTTTGTCTTTGTGTGCTTGTGTGGCGAGCGGTAGTGTAGTGGTTAGCGCGCTGCGCTACGAACCCGGCCACCCGAGTTCGATTCCCGCTCACGTCCACCGCCAGTGACAATGATCTGAACTGCTTTTGAGCCTCCCCTAGGTAGACTCAGCCTCAAATGAGTAAACTGGTGCTATGTTTAAACATTGCCAATAGGGAGACAAATGCTGCCTAGGGTAATGCTGGCCTACCACCCCCTCGTGTGCCCTTCCGACCTTCAGTTTTCCTAACAGCGTTGTGCAGCCACCGTACCTTACGGGGGGGATCTTTGTCTGTTTTGTATGTGTGGTGCGTGAATCCGCGTGTCTGTGCGACCGTGGAAACGGCTGCATATTAGAGACGCGTCTGTGCAGGGGCGTGCGTGTGTGCGTGCGGAGAGCGGTTATCGCACTGCGCAGCAGAATCAGAATCCGTATTTATCCTGGAGAAATGCGAGTTGGATTCGCGCTCACGGCCGACACCAGTGACGATTATCTGGACCAGTTCCTGTGCCTCCTCTAGGTTATCTCAGCCGGAAATTATGACCAGGTGCATGGTCGAGCGTGGTGGTGGTGCTGGCCTAGTAACCCCCGAGTGTGTGCCGTACAGAGCTTGGCCCAACAGTCCGTTCATGCTATACGGGGGATCTTTGTCTTGTGTGTAGAGGCGGTGGTGCCGCGTTAGCGCACTGCACCACGAACCCTGAGCCAAGCGAGTTCGATTCAGTGCCAAGTGATATCGGCGCTTGTGATGGGCTTTCCATAGGTCGACTCAGCCTTAAATTAGTACTTGCTACTACATGCAAACATCAGCCACTGGGGAGATAAAGACGGCGGGGCGGTGTTTTTTTTTCATGGGAGTGTTTGAATCTATACGCTCACGTGAATGCGTGTAGATTGCATGTAAGTGTGAACGTTCGTCTGTGTTGAGTGTGGTATGGGGAGCGGTGGTGCAGCGGTTAGCGCGCTGCTCTCCGAACCCGGCGTCCCGAGTTCGATTCCCGCTCACGACCAACACCAGTGACGATTATCTGAACCGGTCGTGGGCCTCCCCTAGGTCGACTCAGCCTCAAATGAGTAGCCGGTGCGGTGTGTAAACATCGCCACTGGGGAGACAAAGGCGTGGTGCTGACCACCCCACCCACCTCGTGTTCCGTTGGCGGCCTTCATAGGTGCTCGCGAACAGCACTTGCCCCGACGGTTTGTTAAGGCTATCGGGGTGGGTGGGGATCTTTGTCTTTGGTGTGGGTATCTCGCCTCGACGGACTCGGCAGGCGACCTTCAAATGTGCTCGCGAACAGCACTTGCCCCAACAGTCTGTAGAGGCTATCCTTCGTGGCGGAGTGGTGGGGGGGGGGGGTTGGAACTTTGTCTTTGTACTCGGCAAACATCTCCACTGGAGAGACAAAGGCGACCTCATCGCCCCCTTTCCTCGTGGGCCGCGTCCGACCGCTTCCTTCGTAAGTGCCTGGCTAACAGCATCGGCCCCAACAGTTCTGCCAGACTATACGGGGGATCTTTGTCTGTGGCGGAGTGGAAACTGTTGGAATTGGTGTGAAGACCCGCGGTCGAATCGTGTTGTGTACAAATGCACGGCGGTTATTTATTTATATTGTTTGACCATACTTAACATGCAGTGCGGGTTCATGAATACAACAGAGACGTGGGGGGCAATATGAGTACAGTACAACAATGTTCCGTGCTGCCCTTCCCCTCTGTTCCCGAACACGACTACCGTCGCCAATAACCATCGTCTGGGGATGGTGGTAGTCGCTCACCCAAGCCCTAGCCAGGCTCAAGCCGGCTTAGCTCACGATCTGTGCATTCCGGCTTCATTCGGCACGCAGGCGCGTCCTTGCGTGTCCATCTGGCCGGCTGGCCGCAGCTCGCCGTGGTCGCGAGTTTACATCCTGGTTGGGGAATGACTCGGCTCGGCTCATCATCCCTCGCGGGGTCGATTAAATATGGGTACGGAACCGCCGTTCGGGGAAATCAAGCGGTTGTTCTCTGAATGGACCCGCTCGCGCCAGATGTATGTGGGGGATGTTTGACCACAACTCGCCAACGCTGCTCGTTGAAGGCGACGTGTGTGTGTGGGGGGGGGGTCATTTACGTGGGAGCATGGAAGTATAGTACAACAATGGATATTTGCTGCACTGCCTTCTTACTGCCCGTAACGCCTATAAAACATGTTGTATGCACGACGGCGAAACCCTTCCAATCAATATTATCCAGGCTTCAAAAAAAATCCTGCTTGGCTTCCGACATCTGGCCGTGATGGGACGCATTGCGGGTGATTTGCTGAGCGGTGTCGGTGATGCTAGGTGATTGCGAATAGCACTTTCGCCAACGGACTGTAAGGTTATAGGAGAATATTTGTCTTTGCCTGTGGGCATGTATATATACACATGCCCACGTGGGGAGCGGTGGTGTAGTGGTTAGGGCGTTGCGCAGCGCACCCAACGACTCGGGTTCGATTTCCGCCCACGGCCAACACCCATTGACGATTATCTGACTCGGTCCTAGTGCCTCCCCTAGGTCGACTCAACCTTAAATGAGTACCTGGTGGCGATGTTTAAACGTCGCCCACTGGGGAGACAAAGGCGACCGGGCGTGGTTCCGGCCCAGCCACCACCCCCTTCATAGGTGCGCGCTAACAGCACCTGACCCAACAGTCCGTGAATTATCTGCGGGGGATCTTTGTCTCTGTATGTATGCGCGTGCGTGTGTGAATGATTGAGTGAAAGTGCTGGGAATGGAAGAGAGGCGGAAATGGGGTTGTGGTAGGTGTGTGTATCTCTCACTACACGAGTGTGTGTGTGTGCTCGCTAACAGCACTTGCCCCAACAGTCTGGTAAGGCTATACGGGGGATCTTTGTCTTTGCGTGGGTATGTAGCCTTGACCATATATATGTGATATGTACTTATCAGCACTTGCCCCAAAAGCCTGTGTGGGCTATGCCGAGGCGGTGGGAGGCGTTGTCTTTGTATGATTCATCTCCGGCCAACCTCGTCGCGTACACGGCTAACATCAGTGGCGTTTATTTGAACCGGTCAT